TGGTCGGCGTGCCCTAAAGCCCGAATCATCATCAGCAGCAGCAGCAACATCCAGATGGCAACTAAGGTGGCAGTGACGAAACATATTTACCTTGCATTCATACGACACTCAGAGATAGTGTGATTTCAGTATTAAGAGGTAGTAATGATCGCTTGGCAGGGATTGAGCGTAGTTTGAGGCGATGGCTCATGCCCCCTCCCCTTCCCTCCCCTCAGTCAGCTCATTCGGCTCTGGCCGGAATCCGAGGGCAACATCGTTAGCCGGCTGACTCGCATGTTCCGCCTGAGAACGCCCCGAACGAAAGCACCGGCCCTGTTTTGAAGGCATCCAGGAAGTCTTCACGCTTCATCTGAGGGGCGGCGCACGGTCGCGCCTAGAAAGTCGGGATCAGCAGCGCAGCCAGCCCGGCCGTGGAGATGCGTGTTATTCGCGACTAACAACTAAAAAGTAACTAGATTTATGCGTGAATAACACATATAGACAGGTTAATTGCGAATATTAAGTTTTCGTGTGCGCCCATGCCCAATGCACTGCCCCACCCCCGACCCCTGGACGCACCCCTGTTGCAGAAGATCTGCGGATCGTAGAGCCGTTGCCAACTTCGATGATGCCCCGTCGGCTCTCCGTCGAGTGGCTCCCCCTAATGAGCAGGGGTCTGCAGGCCTCTCGTGTCCGAGGTCAATATTGTTACGTGGGTGGGGGCGCCTGTTAAAAGCCTGGGGCGCGGCTGGCGGGGTCAGTGCGCCTCGCACCGCGCGGACTGACCTCCGGCGCGGCTCGGTGGTGGATAAGCTCGGGTGGACGGTGGAGCCATGTGGAGAGTGGTCCATCCGCCCCGGAGGAGATGGGTGAGATGGCAGGAGGGTAGAGTTTATCGAGAGTGCGTGCAGCGTGAGGCAGCGAACTCACTCGTTTCTGTCTGTGAGCGGCTTTCCGTCTGTGTGTGTATGTGTGTGTGTTGGGTTGTGGGTGACTGCATCCGCCTGTAAACCACTCTAAGCGGATTCCACAGATGAGGGCAAGTGTCCGTGTGGTCACAAACCAGACACTCCGTAATCTGTTGATGTATCTCGACAGTGCCGGCTGTGACACGGACCGGACCTTCATATTACAGGGACCGGTCCACTACTTCATAGCAGCTCCACTGCCAGGGGCCCTTCCCACGGCGGCACGCTGGCTTTAACGAATACGCGCTCAGAAAGCGGAACAATTCCTTGGCTTTACTTCATTCCTCAGGTTTGGAATGGTGGAGAATTTTAAGAAATATTTAGATGCGGCGCATATGCAAACGACAACATCAATATCGGAATGTTTGAAAACCATCTGAATGCCCAAATGTTCGAATGTCTGCTGAAAAAACCATCACGAGATTTACGAAAAGTATTAGTGTAAACGTTTGATACACTTAACATTTTGTTCCAAAGTTGCTATTTGTGATGAGAGGAGGCTGAGTGCTGGTCCTCTGACACCGGACTAGGTTCGTGCACAGCATGAACTGCGCCGCATGGCTGGCCTCTGACCCCTCCGACCCCTCTGACCGTGGTTGGCCTCTGCACCGGACGTCCGGACTCCCATTGGGCCTGCGTCGGACTAACGATTCCGGAACGAACGGAACTGTTGTAATGTTGAGGTCAAAAGGCTTCCAACTGGAAATGTTTTGTGAGATTCGGGAGATGTTACAGTTGGACGCGCATGAAATACGCTCAATCACTTGATTTAGTGCTTTAGGTTGTTTTGTTTTCACATGTGGAGAGAACGATGTTGATCCGCCGTCGTTCCCATACGTCATCCAGCTGAAAAAGCGTACGCGCGTGCGTAAGTGCGTGTGTGCGTGCGTGCGTGCGTGCGTGCGTGCACGCGTGCGCGCCTGTGGGCGGGCGGGCGGGCGGGCGTGTGTGCACATGTGTGTATGTATATATATATATATATATATATATATATATATATATATATATATATATATATATATGTGTGTGTGTGTGTGTGTGTGTGTGTGTGTGTGTGTGTGTGTGTGTGTGTGTGTGTGTGTGTGTGTGTGTGTGTGTGTGTGTGTGTGTGTGTGTGTGTGTGTGTGTGTGTGTGTGTGTGTGCTTGCGTGCGTGTGTGTGTGCGTGCGTACGTTGGTGTGTGCGTGTGCTTAGTTCCCTATACATCTACCGGAATTCGTGTAAAAACTCGGAGCACCCCAATATAATGCTCATATAACAAAAATTGGAAATCATATAATGGACGATTCAAACTGGGAAAAAATCACGACCTGTATACAAATCCAGAGGACTGAAACAGAATGCTTGGGTAAATTACCCGAACCCTTCGGGTGCCGAAGCCGAACCAGGTGCTCAGCCGAGGCCCGCCCACTTCACCGGTCGTCCTCCGCTGTGCAGCATCCTTTCGTCAGGTTCCAGCGGACCGGTGCGCTCGCTGCGCCGTTTCGCTCGGAGCGCGGCGTGGGTCTAATTTGGCCGAATCCGAGCTAGTCCCGCGCGACGGCGGCGGTCTGGTGAGCTGATCCGCCGCAGATGTTCGCTGGCCGGGTATTAGTTGCCTGATGACGCACGGCATGAGCCGCGAGCTGCGGGCGGAACCGGGACATGTGTCCTGCTGACTGTCGACACTGGATGCAAACGTGGGCCGACGTCATCCACAACAGCTGCTGGTTAGCGAATCATAACATCTCTCGCTGGTACCCCGCAGTCAGAATTGGGGTCGCGGCAACATGCTTTGACTCAGCGCGTGGGAACGGAGGCAGGAGTGTTTAGATCACATCATCGCATACCTGCGTCCAAGTCACGCGATTCTCGATTCGTATGGTTGGGCTGGTGGCTTGTCGGGCTCACTTGATGTGAGCAAGTCTGCAGGCATGGGATTTGGCGACGAAGTCAATGCGAGTCAATGGGTCAATCTGGAGAGATTTTACAACTGGTTCATTTTAGTGAATTATGTAAGATTTCTACAAAGGTTACTATGACCTAGTGCTCGAGGCAGCAGAAACATAACTGAGCGCAACATTTTGCATGCAATCTGTTTCGTAAAAAGTCATCACTGTTGACAGCATGAAATGCGATTGAGCTCGTCGCTTTTTATCAAGTGGTTCTCTCTGAAACACTTATCCGGTGCATGAGGAGCATTCCTTAATATCGAAAGCTGCGACGGTTGCAAGCTGCAAAGGACGCATCGATTTTTCTTCCAGATTAGCCGCGCATTTACCGAAACTGCAGTTGAGCATTGCCTGGCATGACTCGGCACTGAAAATCTTTCTTGTTGATTTTCGAAATACACTTTTCTTTTGGTACGTCCTCAACTACCCCAGCACTGTCATGTTTTTGAGGCTGTGTCAAACTCTCCGTGGTCCTCGATATGCGAGACTTTATTGAATGTGCATCCTACCTCCGGCAAGTCTGCCATTCAATCCTGACAAAGCAAGCCTTGTTCGATCTTGACGCTGACGACATCATCCTTTTTCTTAACCGATCGATTACCCTCGACTGCTCCTCGCCGGGACACGTCCCCGAAGACCCTCTCCTGGTGGCATGACGAGGGTGCCGAGTCCTCCGGCCAGCCGACCGACCAGCAGCAGGGCGGCAGGTGGACCCGGGCGCACCCCTCTGCGGGACTGCCCTGACCCGGGGCACCCCTCTGCGGCGCTGCCCTGACCCGGGGCACCCCTCTGCGGGGCTGCCCTGACCCGGGCGCACCCCTCTGTGGGGCTGCCCTGACCCGGGGCACCCCTCCGTGGGGCTGCCCTGACCTGGGCGCACCCCTCTGTGGGGCTGCCCTGACCCGGGGCACCCCTCTGCGGGGCTGCCCAGACCCGGGGCACCCCTCTGCGGGGCTGCCCTGACCCGGGCGCACCCCTCTGTGGGGCTGCCCTGACCCGGGGCACCCCTCCGTGGGGCTGCCCTGACCCGGGCGCACACCTCTGCGGGGCTGCCCTGACCTGGGCGCACCCCTCTGTGGGGCTGCCCTGACCCGGGGCACCCCTCTGCGGGGCTGCCCAGACCCGGGGTACCCCTCCGCGGGGCTGCCCTGACCCGGGGTACCCCTCCGCGGGGCTGCCCTGACCCGGGTGCACCCCTCTGTGGGGCTGCCCTGACCTGGGCGCACCCCTCTGTGGGGCTGCCCTGACCCGGGCGCACCCCTCTGTGGGACCGCCCTGACCCGGGCTGGGCAGGGAGTTGACCCCAGCTGTGTCTCTCTGCGGGCCGCCACTACCATGAGTAGGCTTGGGAGACGGACCAGGAGGCTGGCGCTGTCCCCGCGTCGGACCGCTCCGCTCCAGTGATCCCGGTCTTCGTTGACTCCTTGCCCGCGCAGGCGTACTGGCTGGAGGGTGGCCGGCGGCAGCGGATGTTCTGCTCGGCTGGCTTCGGCTTTGACTCGCCCCTGACCTGACCTAGTTATGAGGTCCTTGTCGGGTGCGGCTGGGGCTGCCCGTGGAGTTCGGCAATTGTCTGTGGACTTCAACCGGAGTTGCCTGCGGAATCCGGCGGGATTTCTGTGGAGCACAGCCGTGCTTCCTGAGAGTCGAGAAGGATTTGATGTAGACTTCAACTGTGGCATTAGGTGGAGCTCACTTCTGCTTCTTCTTTTACTTCTGCTTCATTAATACTTCTCTTTATCCGCGCAAAACTACCAACAGGCATACAAATTCATTACAATTAAATCCACTGCCCTCATCGTAACCGTCATACATGTCCCAGCTCATATTCATTCTCCTCCTTATCTCCTAACGGACCTCCTTTCCACCTAATCCGACTTCCGTCGCAGCCAAGTCCCAGCACACGCCCACGGCCGCCTCCCAGCCGTCACGGGCCGTGACGGCTCCCGGTGGCTTCGGCGGCGGCGGCGGCGGCGGCGACGGCGGCGGCCGCTCGCAACTGCTTCACGCCTGGCTGGCTGTGACTTTCCCGGGCCCGTGCCAGCGCCAGGTGGGCGCGCCTTTCCCGCCCACCGCCGCCGGCGGAAAGGCTCGGCCTAGCCGGTCGACTCTCAGACGGAGCCACACTTGACGCCGGTGAACGCTGCTGGGTGGAGGTGTGCGCTCCCGCTCCGTCCCGCTTCGTCTCGTTGCTCGCGGGGGCGGCGGTACTGTGAGCTCGTGCGGTGTTCGCTTGGTCCCAGCGAGCGGAATTTGCCTCGAAAGTGAGGCTGCTACGCGGTCGCACTCAGTTGAAGCCTTGCTCAGTTTGTCACTCTCACTGTAGCGTTTTTTCGCACGTTGATTTGGTTGGTCAGGCCTGTTCCTCAGCATTAATTTCGTTCTTCAGCAAATGCCAGTTGAAGCCCCCTGCTTGTCTGATAGGTTCGTTTTGTGCGAGAACTTTCCCGACCTCCATCTCGTCAAGACCACGTTACACTCCTTCCATGCCGTAATTTTGATAGTCTAGCATTGAGCTGTGGCTAGCTGATTGCTTTTTGTATCCATCACAGCTCAACGTTTGCAGCCGGGCACAGGTTTCAACTGCGTGCGACCCTCGTGTATAAAGGCAGCGGGTCATTCGGTGCAGGAGAGCGTCCAAAACCAAGCTAGCCATGCCGATCATGTCGATATGCCGCACGCCCGACTCGGACGGGTGGGAAGAGCTGCAGGACATGAGCTTCATCCAGCCCTACGTGAGTACGGCAGCGTCGCCACGAGCGTTTAACGTCGCCCGAGGCCAGTTTTGGGCCGCGGGCCGGCCTGGTGCGAGGACGTAGCCGGCGCACGGCTGGCATTGTCCGCTGATGACTGGCGCACCAGGGCCTGTGTGCGTCATCGTCGGAGAGCGCGTACCTGACGCAGGGCCGGCAGCCTGTGGAGGCTCTGGTCTGTCGCCCCGGGCTGCCGCGCATCTTCAAATTTACGAAACCAGTTCTTTGCTAGTCAGCTATCGTCCTCATGCGCGCATACATGCATCTCAGACAGCATGCGTGTAGCTCACTAAATTTCAGTGCTTATATTATTGGCACGTCACATCCGATGGTGTGGTGGGCTTGGCAAAATTGCACCTTCCAGCAGAGCCAGACGAGTACCTCGGCCGCTACTTATCGGCGTCTCATTGTTTCAACGGGACTTCCCGTTAGTCCGCTGCTGAACGGTTTCAACGTGAACACACAAGTGCTGGGCAAACCATCGCCTTTGCTCGAGCATGTCAGTTCCAAAACGTTTCATCCACTGACGGGCCTTGATGTCGGTGACGTGAAAGGCAACGGATGAGACACGATAGGTTAGTCTTAAAGCACGCTGCGGATGCATAGCAAGGTAACGTCAGTCAAGACAATAGAGGCAGGGATTTTAGTTTCGGCCGAGGCTCCAGCCATGATCAGAAAGCTTGCATGTGTGGCGACTCTGCTAAAATATTTTTGTCTGGGATAATGTTCCTGTGTTGGTGGTGCAAAGGATGTTTGTAATGAAAGATTTAGAGCACGTGGGTGAAGGAAGGAATATCTAATGCACCGTGTTTGGTATGAACATAAAGCCGCTGGCGCAGAGAACTGTCCAGTAGGTGACCGAGAAGTGTTACGACACAATTTTCTTTGAAAATAAAACAATAGGTTGATCCTATCAGTCAAAACTCAGTATTTTTACAAAGAATAGCACTGTTCCCACATGTTCGGCACGTTCCATCAGTGTGACGATGTAACTTCCTGCCCAAAAACATGCAGCGTGAACAATGGAGTTCGGCAGAGCTCTTAAATTTGGCAGGTTGCTGTTGCTCCGCTAGCTACAAACGCATACCACGACGTCGTTTTACACCTTTGCGTAGAAATGAAAGGAATCCAGCAAAATAAGCAACCGTATCGAAAACAGACAGCTGCTGTGTTTTTAGGACATGATTCTCAACGACCGCAAATGCGGCATTACTTTGTCCGCATGGTCGTAGCAGTGACGCCGGGAAAACGCCATTCGTTAATTAAAGGGGATGTTTCACACTAAAAGATGTTAAAGCAGGCATCATATATGATGAAACAAGCTCACTTGTAGGTATTGGTATTCGTTTTTAGTAAAAAAGACTGCTCCATACAGCACGATTCTCTGTTAAGTAAACATACTCCCCTAATGCGCCATGGTTTGATGACGTCATCTTACCTTCTACGACATTGAGAGCCAATTGACGGCCGTTGTATCGGTAAATCACGCTCACGAACGCCAGATATGAACGCCCGACAGTTTTATCTTTTAGCCTTGATCACTACATGGCTTATGAAATGACAGGATGTGGAGTACGTTATTATGACGTCATGAACGCCAAGATGACTTAGAAATACTCTCCCCGATATACCCTTCCCCATTTTCGTGGGCGTGTAGCTCAGCAACTAAAGCGGCTTAGGTCTTAATAAGGGTAGAATGGTGAACAGCACTGAAATGTCTTCATTATAGCAATATCAGTTCAAAATCTCATAGCAATGTGGAACACTCCGTTTAATCTATAACTCGTGTTGTGGTGCTCGGTCGTCAGTTATCATGCGCCTTGATAGGTCGGCCTTCGTAACACGTGCGCAGGCAGGCGTCGTCAAAGAACGGGCCGCATCCGTGAGGCGTGGGGGCTGTGACCAACTGTGGATAACGCACGATTTGTTCGCATTGCGATGGCATTCATCCGCTGCCGATGGCGATGACACCCTGGCCACTGAGAAGGCCACCATCAGCAGCCAACAGGCCTCAGCCGTCGGCCGCTGGCGATGGCGATGTACGCCCTGGCCACTGAGAATGCCACCATCAGCAGCCAACAGGCCTCAGCCGTCGGCCGCTGGCGATGGCGATGTACGCCCTGGCCACTGAGAAGGCCACCATCAGCGGTCGCCAGGCCTCAGCCATCGGCCGATGGCGATGGCCATGACACCCTGGCCACTGAGAAGGCCACCATCAGCAGTCGCCAGGCCAGGCCGTCGGCCGATGGCGATGGCGATGGCGATGTACGCCCTGGCCACTGAGAAAGCCACCATCGGCAGTCGCCAGGCCTCAGCCATCGGCGACTGACCTTGCTCAAATCCACCACTCAGTCACCGCGCACGAACTGTGAGGCATTGTGCCTAAACATTGAAATGCTTAATGCGGAGCTCAGCATTTGACGAAATGAATCAACGGTTGTTGTTCCTCCATTGCGAAGCATGCAACAGACTAATGATGCTCTTTTGTTGCCCAAGAACTAGCACAAACATGGCTACGAGCCTTCTCGCTGGTTAGATTTACAGCCGCTCATTATCGCCGGACCAAGGGCTGTGGGCTCAGCCTCTACAGCATAGCGAACCACTGAAGCAGTGAAGTTTTTGTCCCGTGTCCGTCCCAGTATAACATCGGAATGGATCGGTCGTTTAGTTTCCTACCAGAGGGCCATTAACTTCAGCGATCATGGCTATAGACGGTCGCTTAGATGAGCCAGGTGTGGGCGTGATCTGACGACTCATCATTATTCCAGCTGTCGGTCTATAAAACGCCGCCACAAATAACCCCTGTCCGAGTTTCTAGGCCATCTGAGACGTTGCTGGAGGCGGACCATACACGGTTGCCGGTGATAGGACCGGCTGGGCGTCCCATTTGTAGACAGCGCTATGCATGGTATACTACTAGTTATGAAATAGTTAAGAAGCGTCGCAAAATAAATTATCTGGATGGGGATATATGCTACTATTTTGAGAGCATTTTCTGCCCACAACGAATGTTGCCTCGCGTCTTTTCGTGGTACCTGCGAGCAGGAAGTTCATGTCCAGGGCAGATCCAGAGCACAGCTTCAGACAAAAATACTCTTGAGTGAATCGTGGGCCTCAAATCCGAGGAGTGTGATGGAAGTGATGAAATCGGTGTTGCTAATATCCGCTAGCGACTGATCGCACTCAGCACGTTTCGCATAGCGACTCGTAGTGGAACTGGACGAGGAAAGTCAGGAAACTATAGAAGAACAGAGACGCCTGTGTTTTATGATTGGAAACAAGCCGAATGTCGAGATGGATACATTCATAAGTTTTTCAGGATAGACGGACTAAAACCAGCCAACTTGCTATCCACATGGCGTGCATCTTCTCTTCAGCGATGGGTGAATTATGACATGGCCCCCATGGTCCCAGGGTCCCATAAGTCACAGCTTCCATCAGAAAAGCGTGCGTTCGTGGCCTGGACACCGTTCTGCCGCCGTAGGCTAGGTTCGGACATGAAACAGCCGCTGAGCAATTTTCTTTGGCCATCGCAGCATTTAGCCTCGAACCACAGCTTTTACTTCAGGTTTTCCCAGTGCCTCGTTTACAGCATGTTTACATACCAAGCCCGCTCAGCTCGCTGCCATAGCACGCAGTGTGCTACAAGTGTCCACTCTCCCCAGCTTGAGTCTGCCACTCGGGATTCCCCGTCAACCCTGCACTATCTCCCGAAGGGCATCCCAGCGTCCGGAGCGGTGCGTACGTCCGGCGCGGCGACGCTGATGGAACTCGCCCCGCGTGGCGGCGGCGGCGTCAGCCATTGTTTTCTAATGGCGCCTGCAGCTGTCGCCGCAGCGCCGTCCGATTTCCCGCGGCCAGCACGCCAGCTGCAGCTGCGCCGCGCTTCGCTTTCGTCCTCTGGCGACCCAGTAACGGGCTGACACGGGCGCAGCCGGGTCCCAGCCGGGTCCCAGCCGCGTCCCAGCCGGGTCCCAGCCGGGTCGCAGCCGGGTCGCAGCCGGGTCGCAATCGGGTCCCAGCCGGGTCGCAGCCGCATCCCAGCCGGATCCCAGCCGGGTCGCAGCCGGGTCGCAGCCGGGTTCCAGCCGGGCCGCAGTCGGGTCGCAGCCGGGTCGCAGCCGGGTCGCAGCCGGGTCCCAGACACCTGAGGCATTCGGGCGGGGTCGTCTGTCCAGCCTGCGCTCAGGCGCTGACGTCCCTGGTAGTGGCGAGCTGTGGCGCTGACGTCCCTGGTGGTGGCGAGCTGTGGCGCTGACGTCCCTGGTGGTGGCGAGCTGCGGCGCTGACGTCCCTAGTGATGGCGAACTGCGGCACTGACGTCCCTGGTGTTGGCGAGCTGTGGCGCTGACGTCCCTAGTGTTGGGGAACTGCGGCACTGACATCCTGGTGGTGGCGAGCTGTGGCGCTGACGTCCCTAGTGTTGGAGAACTGTGGCGCTGACGTCCCTAGTGTTGGGGAACTGCGGCACTGACGTCCCTGGTGGTGGCGAACTGTGGCACTGACGCCCCTGGTGGTGGCGAACTTTGGCACTGACGTCCCTAGTGGTGGGGAACTGCGGCACTGACGTCCCTGGTGGTGGCGAACTGCGGTGCTGACGTCCCTGGTGGTGGCGAGCTTGGTCTGGCACGTGTCCGGGTCTTGCTACGGTAACAACATTGTACCATTCAACGTCCTCCGCGATTCTCCGAACATCATCACACTATCCTCCGAGCATCACCACATTATGCTTGCGGACGTCCTCACGGGTGTAGAACCATCAAAGAGCTGTCCTGGCAGCTGTTGATGCGTCATCACCGGGTCACGGCAGTGGACGAGTGCGGTCCGTAGAATTTCGCACATTCAAACTAACCTGTATCATAATGTAAACCGTTATTTCACCTAACATGTACAATTTATCATCATAAGCCGCGCCGTTTTTTGCATCGTTCCGTTCTTCCAATGCAGCGTCTTGGGATCTTTGGGCGCAACTATTCAGGGCAGCTTCGATGGCAGTCCATGCACAGCGCGGCGTGGAGGACCCTGACCGCGGCGGCCCACGCAGTCCCAGCCTCTGCTGCACCGGAGCCTGGCTGAGTTCTCGATGTTAAGTCGTTCCGATAGTCCGTGGTGCTGTGATGGTCATCATCAGTGCCGCCTTTCAACCGTGCCTTCTTTGTCGAACAGCAGAGCGCCGTCCTCGGATTCGGTTGTGTCGAGGGTGCCGCTGCTGAGCTTGCGAGAGAGACGGAAGGGAAAGAACGATCCAGATGCCGTGGAAGCCCGTGGAACGAAGCCGCGGACTGATCTCGCAATTCTGGCGTGGTGTTTAATCGTTTCAAGACGTGGTTTGTCCCATAAGTTTGACTCTGACAGCTTCCTTGACTTTTGCTAGGGTGCGAGAGGAATGCTCAAAGTTGTCCTTATTCGGGGGTTGTTGGGCTTTTGCTAGTGTGTGAGAGGAATGATCGAAGTCGTCCTTATTCGAATGGCGGGCGCTATAAGCCAGGCGGTGGTGCAGGCGCTTGTATCGGCGTGCGTCTGATGGCATTTGCTGCTCAAAATGACAACCGATTTATAAAGAAAGCTTTGCTATGTTATGATTCACAGGCCTGTACAGACCACGCAATAACTTTTATTTGGGTGAAGCATGCTTTGTCAAGCAATTTTCCACACTTCCCACACAATTTTTATAGTATGCTGTCTTATGGTGGTGAGCTGCTGTTGCGTTGTTGGCAGAGATAACACGGCAGTAAGTGAAGCATAATGGCTGATGTTTATGTCTCGCAGGGCGTGCTTTTAACAAGCACCTTAAGTGTGGAAGCTCTTCCCAGCTCTTGAAGGCCTTCATTTTTATAGAACTGGCTATGGCTTTTTTTGAATGGCTTCATTTTATTTATTGAATGGCTTCAGGCTTGAAGGCCATTTGTTTTTATAGAACCATTTTTGTAAAGCCTGCCCGCTTCATAACAATTTTCAAGAGGAGATATCAGTGTTTGACGGCTCTATCCTACACGCGCACACACAACTTTCACGCTGGCGTCTGCCTGATCGCACTCTCCAGTCCAGTTGGAGGCCGGCTGGAGCCGTTGTGGCGACACCGACAGCCTGACCAATGAGCCGACAGCCTGTGTCCGCAGTTGTTTTCCATTGGTGAAGCTCGCCTGACCTGCTTTTGCACCTGGCTTCGTTCAGGAGCTGGAGTGTTACCAGCCTGGGTCCGTCGATATGAATCGGCTCCTTTGTCTTACTCCAGTCAGAGTTGGACTCATCGAGATTTGTGTTCGTTTAAAGCGTTGTCTTATCCTGACGGCTATCGGTATCATCACTATGAGTTGACTTCAGGGAACTTGATGTGTTGCACTGTCACCGAACATGGTCATAGTGTCTGTCTCCGATATGTTATCGGTCGCGCACACCCCTCCAAAGATGTGCTAGAAGCAAACGATATATGCGCGTCTTTCCCGCAGTCTGAAAATGACGTCACATCCGGACTTAAAGCATGCACCGCTACTGTTGACAAATGTGGCGCCAATGACTCAGCTGCAGCGCAGCGTGGGCGTCGGGGTGGTCCTGGTCATGCTGCTTGCCATGTAAATCAACACGCCCAGCTGTGCGCTGGACAAGCTTGTCGACGCATGGACCGCCATGTCCTGGTGACGTCAGATGTCGTATCGCAGGCATTGATAGTGTCACGAGATATTGACTCACTTTCCCTGGCCTAACGTGACGTATGCGTGCGTGCGTTCTGCCTGGAGACGCCACACACTTGTCTTACCGCGCCTGTCACATACAAGACGAACCGCCTCCACCCGATTGTACTGCCTATTGCTTTATCTCTCCGTATGTTGGTTCCAGTCCTGCAAATGCTTGCGCAATGTGCTCTGCGCACACATCATTTCCCAAACATTCAGCATCTCGACGCGACCGTGTCGTGTCCAGTGGTGTTGCCAGGTTTTTGGGCCCTACGGTCGTGGCTGAAGCGGCAACAGGCGTGCGGGGCTAAAAAAAAAAAAAACTTTACTATCATGCCCCCATCTTCGCCGGATTTCGGAAAAGTACCCCGAATTGGTGTGTCTCAGTTCGACGCTTCTGGACGGCCGGGTGATGACCCACTGCCCTCCTCCCCTCCCGTCCTGGCGACGCCCATGGTCACGCCCCACCGCGGTCCACACATAACGTGGGGCGACACGACTGGTACGGTGAGTCGGCGCGTCACGGCCGGGACGCCGCCGCCGCTGGCCGGGTCATGGGAATACACGGTCGGCAGCCATCCGGCGGCCGCGGAATTCCCTGTGAGCAGGCGCGGGGTTCGGCGACTCGGCCTGTGATCAGCTGACTGCTGTTGTTAGCAGCCGATCCCAGCTACCTAGGGTTGCTGGACCAATTGGGGAGCTTGCGGCGACACTCTTCTGGTGGCTACACACAGACGGTAGCGGCAGAGCTTGTCGTTCAGGGTGAAAGAAAGGTGCAGCCTGAACAATGACGCCTGGAACGCCGGCCTGGAACGCCAGCCTGGAACCTGGCTCAAAAAGAGAGAGAGAAAATATTTCGAGCATTAGGAATTCAGGAGCGAGGAAAGTTTTCACGGCCGCAGTTCAGATTCTCCAAGAGTTATAGGGCAAACTAGCTGGAAAGGCGGGTACAACATGAAATAACGGAATACATGTACCTAGCGTATGTCCGATACAAAGTTCACCAGCAGGACGCCTGACGCTGCACGTTCCACCGAGCTCAGTGATGACATGCCGTCCAGTCCAGCAATGTTGCCGTGTCCCGCGGCGTCATTCCACGCGTGCTTCGGTGGCGGCGTCACGCTCGGCTCCAGCAGACAGCGAACGGCCACTGTTTACACCGCTCGTTAGCCGTTTATTTTTCGGTCCGGGTGGCGCTGGGAGATCGCGGCGAACATCCGTGCTGTGCCGCCGTTCGAGCCCGGGCCAGAGTAGGCAGCGAGCTGCCGCGTGAGCAGCGGCCAGCCTCACCACGCGTGTAACGAGGCAGTGCCATGAGAGGCACGCGCTGTCGCGAGACCTTGTTGCCGTTATATTTGCAGGGCGTGTGATGTTTCGCGCGATGCGTGGGTGGGGCGCTAGAGCAAAAAACAGCGATAAGACAAAGAAATCCGTAGCGAGGAAGAACAGTTCAATCCACTCCGCTGCAACCGGCGGCCAGGTCCGTCGATTGTCACGGAGGTATTTTGCGGCGTTTAGTGGCTGTTGGTCTGGTCGACAGTCAGCCTTTTAAACGGCGGCAGAGGAAGACAATCGATTAAATACATTCCCAGCATGCAACGCCGCAGCATTGGAACCGTCCAGTCCACAATCGATCGAGGAAGACAATCGATTATATATTTTTCCTAACGCGCAGCACCACAGCATTGGAGCCGTCCAGTCCAGAGTATGCTACCCCCAGTCCGAAATGGCCCCTCGAACCCCAAGGTCCCGTGGTGAGCAGGCGGCGCTGCATGGCTCACTCGGGCCGACACCACCTGGAGCGGGTGGCTGACCTCCGGCCTCTGTTGCAGCTGGACAAGATGAACGGGTCCGGCCACGGCACTAATGGGTCTGCTGGGACGCCGGACGATGAGCGAGCCTGGACCATCGGCGTCATCAACTCGCGTGCCAAGTATCTCACTGCGGAAACGTTCGGATACAAGATCAACGCCAACGGTGGGTGAAAGGCGATTGGCGGCGCACGTTCATTGATACATTATCCCGGAGCTGGATACCCAAGCTGGCGACCCAAGCTATAATACATTCTCTGCTGACGTGATTGTCTGGTTACATGAGTAAAGGTATACTCAGGTACGTGTGTGATTTGGAAAACTGTCTGGCAGCGGTGGGATTCGAACCCACGCCCTTTCGGACTGGTGCCTAAAACCAGCGCCTTAGACCACTCGGCCACGCTACCACGGAGGCATGGCGTGTCGGGTTGCGCAAGATTGGAAGCGAATTAGCAGCCGCTTGCCTTTTGACTTTTCTTGCTGGATTCCGGGCATGTTTCTTTGTTTGTGGGTCTCTACATCAAGCAAGTGGTGTTTATTGAAATTCCAAGCCGGAGCTCCAAGCCTACACTCGCATTTTGTCAAGATACACTCACTGCGAACTGTCAGCATGTGTGGCTTTGGGTTTAGCGTACCTGCTATGCGTGGACGCATGCCTCTGACTAGGCCCGTTCTAATGGTGGCGAATTTCTACGACCGTAGCCCCATGCAGTAAGCGAACGGCCACCGCCGCTTGGTGGTGGCGCTGCTTTCGAATCTGCGGACAACACTGTCCGTGCACCGTCACTCGTTCAGGATAAGGGATTAGGGTAGATTGATTGGGGCTGGAGCTGAAACAATAAAGTTCTCTTGACCTACTCCCAAATCCTGATTTCTCCCCGGATTCCAGCCACTGCTGTTTTCGTTCCGGATGTTGAAATTTGAAATAATGTTTGTCTAGCTCTGAAACTGCTTTGATGTTGAGCAATACCACCTCATTTGGAGCCGACGTGATTGTGATGATGAGTATGTATGATGATGATGGTATCGATGGTAATGTGTTTAGGTACTTAGCGTATCAGCACTTCAGACACTTGCTGCATTTCATATGCCCAGTATTCCCTTCTTTTGATTGAGGGGCTCAAGTCAGCACGGGGGGTGGGGGTGGGGGGGGGGGTGGGGGGGTGGGGGTGGGGGGGGGGGGGGTCTGCCCCCCGAAAGCATACAAAGTGACACCCTTGATCTTACTGGTATGATCATAGTCATGCACCTTTAAGATTGGGGACGAATCAGAGCTGGAGGATCAAATTTAACTCTGGAACAAGCAGCCTGACCTGAAAATGGCTTTTGAATAGAAAAAACGAGAAAACGTGCATCTTACGGGCAAAACTGGATGAAAATGGCATTCCGAGAAAGTTGGAGCGGACATGTCCACAGCCCCCTTTCCCTCCCAGTGGTTACGCCCATTCTTGTCCCCTGACCGTATGTTCCCTATGGCGGCGAAGCCATGATTTCGCCCAGCAGCAGGCCAAATCGGGGCACTGGGGCCCTTTTAGCCAACGGATCCCACTTCGTCGCCGTAGGGACCCTGCTTTTGGATTCGGAGCCTTAGGCTCGGATGCAACCTCGTTGGATGCCTAGGGCCATTTTTTATGTTTTGGAGGCCCTACGGGTGACTTCAGTTGCCAGTAATTTCTGGGGCATTCGGCTCTCGGGGGTCCTCACCACCTTCAGACCGGGTGAGGGGTCATGATCCCCGAATCTCCATCTGCGTGCGCCACTGCGGAACACGTGGCACCGCCTGCTCCATGCCGTGTTCTGTGATCTTCTTGCGTTTGACAGGGACTCTTCTGTACGCTGTGGCGGTCCAGCTCTTACGCTCTCCCTGAAATCGCTTTGTGTTGTCAGACCCAACCGTTACACTTCGGAGATTGCGGGGAAAATGTGGTTTCACCGTGTTTATAAAAAACAACGCCACGCGGGCATGTTAACATTTTTTAGTGGGAATGGTGTGGTAAGGCTGCTTACAGTTCCACGGCTTCCAGAATGTCTGGGCGTGATAAATAATCAGTAAACGTGTTGACAAACGCTAAAATTTGCACTGTCTACTGGTTCATGTTTTATGTAATGGCTGAAATGGCTACGAGCGAGGCCGCAGCCGGTAAGCCGCGTGTGTACTGTGATAAAATATTCAGCTGAGTGTCGCGGCCCATTCTAGTCGCGGATCGCGGCCCAACTACGGCCTGGTGGATCGTAGCTGCCCTTCTCTCTGGCCGGGGTCGCAATGCGCTGTTTCTGATACGCTGAGGGAGGGGGGGGAGAGGAGAAAGGAAGAACCGAGGAAAGAGGGGCAGCGTTTTCGTCGCCTTCGAGTGCTATATAGACGATACGCCTTCTTCGCTGCAGGCGTTTCCTTGAAGAAAAAGCAGCTGTGGACGCTGCAGCCGACCGGACAGCGCGACCACGTGAGCCTGCGCTCCCACCTCGGCAAATACCTGGCCGTCGACAGCTTCGGCAACGTCACGTGCGAGGCCGACGAGCTGGAGCCGGGCGCCGTGTTCGAGATCGCCGTGGCCGACGACGGCAGTGGCCGCTGGGCCTTTAAGAACGTGGAGCGGAAGTACTTCTTGGGCGCCGGCGGCGATAAGCTCCTGTGCAACGCCAAGACACCCTCAGACGGAGAGCTTTGGTGCGTTGCTGGGAGGGGCCGTGGATGACTAATGGTTGGTTGGGTGGGGATTAATGACAGGATGTCGGAGGTGCTCCTGCGACTAGCCTTGCTTTACAGCTCGAGGATGACCCGCTTTGTATTTCGTTAAGCCTACACTGACAGTGGAAGGAAATGCTGTTGTAGCGCTAAGAAAATCTAGTTGCGGTTTAAAACTGTGTAGATATTGTTAACTCATTATTTAACATCAGAACGTGGTTGCGTTGAGGGGATCAAAGGAAGGAAATAGTATTTGCGTGGAGGGAAAGGGAAGGGAATTTAGAATGCACACAACTCGCCCGCTAACACCTCACATCGCGGTGCAGCAAAGACGGGAAAGGCACCCTCTTGTGGTCTGCGTGTTCTTGCTTTGGAATTCAAACTCCGCTCGTCGTATGCCTGCGGTCGTCTCGCTGACGAGGCCCGCCGCTGGGTAGTACCTTCACCCGACGCCTGGTCACTGACGCCGCCTCGCCGTCGCCAGGTACATTCACCTGGCAGCTCGGCCCCAGGTCAACGTGTACAGCGTGGGACGCAAGCGGTTCGCGCACCTCTCCGAGTCCCTGGAGGAGATCCACGTGGACGCCAACATCCCCTGGGGCGAGGATACGCTCTTCACGCTCGAGTTCCGCGACAACCACTACGCCGTGCACACGTGCAACAACCTATACCTGCACCGCGATGGGCGACTGCAGAGCTCCTGCTCCGAGGACTGTCTCTTCGCCATCGAGTACCACAACGGCAGCCTGGCGCTGCGTGACCGCTCAGGCCGCTACCTTTCTCCCATCGGCTCCAAGGTGAGCTGACTGTGCGTTGGGTCACGCTGGAGGCAGATACCGCTTCACTGCCGTCTCTAGCTCTAGTTCACTAGTTCTTGGGTCACAAGGGAAACAGCTGCCACTCCCTCATCGCCTCAGATGTGAGGTCACTGCGTCATGGGTTGCAAGGGAAGCAGCTGCCACTCTGTCAGTGGCTTTGAAATGCACTGTGCACCTTCAATATCGCGATGGAGGCATGGGACGGAGACCGCTTCTGCACCAGGCATTTAGCCAAAGTTGTCCTCATGGAAAAGCTAAATGTCGAACGTTCTCTGAAATGCTGTAAGTTTAGATCGAATTTCCGAGAACTTGCCCATGAGCTAATGTAGAGCTGCTGTTATAGCGCGGTGGCACTGCCCTTGGTTACGCCCCTGGTCTGCACTGGTGCTCCGTGCCAGACTTCGGCCTAGTCCTGACGTGTCGGGCACCACACAAGGCTGCCTCCACGTCGTCGCCTGAAGGCTGACCTCTGTCTTCTGACGGCGTCGGCAGGCCCTACTTAAGACACGTGCCCAGGCAGTGACTAAGGACGAGCTGTTCTCGCTGGAGAACTCTCTGCCCCAGGCCTGTTTCGGCGCCGTGCTCAACGACCGCTACGTCAGCGTCAAACAAGGTCAGCCCGGGTCACCGCGAAGTCGTAACGGAGTCAGCTCCGGGTTAGCGGGAGATCGCAACGGGATCAGCTCCGGGTCAGCAGATAACAACGGGCTCGACGTGGGGAAAATGTCTGCAGTTTCGGCAGTGCACTTCCTGTTCAGGCCGGGGATGGCCCGTGGTAGAAGGCTTTTGGGAGAGGGGGCCATTCCTTGCCACGATACTCCGCCCTCGGGTACGATCCTGCATCGACGGAAGGGTATGCGTAAAGTCGCATCGAGCGTTGCACTGAGACGTCGCAAAGCTGCATCGGGCGTTGCCCTGACATGTCGTAAAGCTGCATCGGGCGTTGCCCTGACATGTCGTAAAGCTGCATCGGGCGTTGCCCTGAGATGTCGTAAAGCTACATCGGGCGTTGCCCTGAGACGTCGTAAAGCTGCATCGGGCGATGCCCTGAAGCGTTGCAAAGCTGCTTATGGCGCTGCCCTGAAACGCCAGTATTCTATTCCACCTCAAGACACTTTCGTGGCTCGAATACCCTTGGGCGGACGTCGCTTTCAGCTGGCGTTGACTGGTGGAGAACAAGCGGCACATTGCACAAGGTAACGTCGCTGTCCTTGTCGGGCGGCGATGTTAGGCACATTGGTGCGCCCACAAGAGCAGTTCGCGGCCACGAAAGTAACGTAAGCCACCATGCTCCAGACTGCCCAACCAACCAAAGGATCAGGGTCGCATCGGAGACCCCAACGGCGTGGTTTTTCCCGCCGGTATCCGCGGCTTCTCCGTGGTGACCTGGGCTCGTGGACGCCTCGCTTCGCCAGGCGTTGACGTGACGGCCAATCAGGAGGAGGTGGGAGAGCACGAGCGCTTCCTGATGGAGTACGACCTGGCCACGCGACGCTGGTACATCCGCACCATGCACGACAAGTACTGGACGCTCGGCACC